TACACCAAAATATGTCACCTATAATCACTGAGAAATGGAAATTCCTTTTTTAAAATGGGGTGTACTCAATTATGCTGAACACTGTAACTAGTGTATATTGTGAAATAAAATGGATTCATGTGAACATGGAGTCAGAAAGAGATTTAAATGACAATAAGGATCCTGATAACACTTATATAACATATTTAATTGAGCTATTCTTGCTAATAAGATCATTTTTTTAATTTGCATTATGCCTAATAGTCATAAAAATAATAAATCACCATCCAAAATCCACATTCTTGACCAGTTTTGTCTTTGTCAGACTAGTATCAATCCCACAACCAAGCCATCTGAGAGCATCAGGTATCCATGGACAGCATATACACATTTCACAATGTAGGCCGGTGAGGTTTTCAGAGCTAGTTATGTGTACAAAAGACCAAGGGACAAACAGAGAACTAAACTACATGCTTATAAAGAATTAATGCTGTCCCAAATATGAAGGACATAAATTTTAACTACAGGATGTGATTTTTTTTCCTCGCCCCCCATCACCAATAACCCACAGTGAACATTTATAAACGTACAAAGGAAGTATCGGACATCTTGGGAAAGCAGCGAGAATGTGCAGAGAGAGTACAGTAATTAAGTGAGATTGCTGAGTGCGGAAGCTGGGATATGAACGTCTAACGGGGATATGAAATGGATGAGATATTCCACAGTGAATGCTTTTATTGCTGCTTTCAGGAGCTGACAGGTGAGGAGTAATAGGGGTGAAATTTATCAATGACACATTACAACTTGAAATAGCCAGGCGATCAATGGCCGTAGCTTAAACAAAGTGTAAAACGACACATCTGACCACCATCAATCCCAGGGAGTGACGGCGAGCACTGCTGCTACATGCCCATAGGAGGAGTCCCAGCACCAACTCACTGACAGGAAGCCTGCCTGGATATACATATGTGAGTCATCTCCAACTCATTGCTTTTTTACTTCAGAGCCTGCTGCGAATGACAATGACGGCTCAATCACGAATGCAAAAACCTTTCAAATGCATACATGATGTTTTTTTTCATTTTTAATGACTAGCATTCACTTTGACTTTAAGCACGTCTTCATTCAATTCCTTGCCCTTGGTTTTCAAAAGAAAGCCACGACTGAAAGAGCGCGATCTGCTGAGCACCAGGAAAAATGTCACACTGTGCCTTTAAATGCTGAAACGAACACATTGAGAACTTCCTCAGTGTGACACCCCCCTTCCTCTGCTCTGATTGGCAGAGGCCCCCTCCCTCTCTTCCTCCTGATTGGCTGCTGGTATCCAAGGGCTGGGCGGCGAGGTCTCTATAAATAAACCTGGTAGCTTGTGCTGTATCAGCAACCCTTCCCACAATGCCGCTCTCTCGCCCTCCCTTTCCCTGCCTGTTACCTCTCTCTTCTTTTCCCCCCTTCTTGCTCTCGATCTACACTGATCTGGCCGTAGCGCTCGCATAAAAACATTGCCCCGTTGGGAATGAATATTAATAAAATATAACAGGGGCACATGCCCCATCACAGACACACAGGTGCCTGGGTGGAATTTATTGACACGAGTGTCACGTCGCAGTAGTTAAATATATCAGGTGCTGGATGAAGTAATCATCTGCTGCAATTAACCATGCAAAAGACCACCTCCACCAACTAACTCACTCCACATCCCCACAGCTGACCAAACACAGCTGCCAGCTGCCAATCACAGTGTCGCCATGGCAACAGACCAGCCTACTCCCTGTCTCTAAGGCACAGGAAGAGGATGGTGGTGTGTGTGCCTGTGAACAGCTGAACACCCCTCCCCATCACTCCCACCTCACCCTTCCCATGTCCGTAGTGACCCCCTATCTTATTCCCTGTTAGGGTAATGGGAACGCTGGTGCTACTGAGCCAAAGTTGGACACACCATGATAGGCGTGAAGGGAAAAGAGGTCAGGGAGGAAACTCTGTGCATTATCAACAACTCGTTTTGCTTTTATTCTCCTCCTCAGACTTGGAAAAGTTTAACGAAAACTTCCTGGTGCATCATAAAACTATAGGAAAACTTGGCATGAGCAGCAAGCAACAAGTTGGTGTGTCAGAATTGTGTGTCGGAAAAAGGACATTGTAGACATGCAGAACATAGAGGTGAACTAGGCAGGGATGTGTGCGTCACATCGTGCCCACCAACTAACGCGTGCGTTTATGGCCACAGATGGCAGGTCACATGGATGTCACCATGTCCCACAGTGAAGGACTACAAGTTTCAGATGCTAAGCTAAACTCTACCCAACAAAAGCAAAGGTAGATGTGAGAATGTATAAACATGGCAAAGATATGTACATCTCAGAACAGAATGTTGAAGAATCAGTTGTATCATCCCATAGTAGGCCAGTATGATTTGGGGAAAATTATCTAACTGCAATTTTTTTAACAGATATTGCGTTTTCGATTTGCAATTTGATTTTGTAGACAAGCTTCAGCTCAATATTTTGTATCGTAGCTTCTTACTGCTAAAATGCAGTGAGTGTTAGTCAAAAAAAGGAAATGAAAACATTTTAACTTATTCCAACGTTTATATAATTATGTATTTTTCTATAACATATAAAATTGCATCGTTTCAAATAACGATTTGATTTCGATTAAATCGCACAGCCCTATCCCAAAGCGACTAAAAGTTAACAAATATTCTTAATCCATTACTCTTTTTTTTTGTCAGCACTTGGATTAAAATCAGAATAAATGACGAATAAGTTTACTTTCTGAGATTTGACACTCACTAATTGCAATGGGTTTTATTTGTTGCATACTAGTAGGTACTAGGGATTCACCTGACTCACGATTTGATACAATTCACAATAATAATTTCACAATTCAGACACTATTTTTAAACAAAAATATTGAAAACAAATTTAAGGTCAAGAGCCCTTTCATTTTTTTCTTAAATGCTGCACATTTTTTGCAAAATGTAGACTCAATAATATAAACAAACTAAAACTGTGACTGTGCTGGGATTTTACATTATTAAAAAGAAAACAAAGGTAAATTGAGTTTGCACCTGTAAACGGGGCCCTTTTGTTCAAAACATGTATCGCAATTCGTTCAACATTTTTACCAGTTCAAATGATTACATATTTGAATCGATTTCAACCAGCTCACAGGGAATTGTTAAATATGTAGTAGGTACTACATTGCAATTTGAACTTCACAAGAATTAAAGTTCTTACTGTTATGTAACCTAGCAACAACAGCTGTGTGGCTTCACTTGCATTCTTAAATTCTCTTTCATGGCATCATGGGATAGTAAATTATACACCAAATGTGCACTTTTCCTGACACAGGTCATCCGGGTACTTATAGCCTACTGTTTTTTCATGTTTATAATATTATACAGTAGGGAAGTATCAGATTAGAAATTTAGTGTTGAGAATTGGGAAGCTGTTTTTCTGAATGAGAAATACCTCCAGAATGCAATGTGCAATTTGATGAGTTTATTACTTCAGCATATTGAGTTAAATGATATTTTGAACTGCAAACCAAAGCATGCATTTCTAAAAACAATCTAGTAATGATTTAGTTTACAGTGTTCAGGTAGAACAGACCACTTATGAGGACAGAACACATGCATTCAATTCCCAAAGTTTCATAGGGGACCAGCACTTTAGTCTCACCAATTACAAGTTTGAGGAAAGATTATTTATTTAGGGAGCAAGTGAGCTTGTGCCACCATCTCCCAGAATCTCCCACTGGTCATCTCCGATTTTGATTCTCAGAAGCCCCTCATTTGCAAGAAGACACCATCTTCAGCGAGCCTTCTGCAAAACATTCAACCTTTCCACTAAGTTCAGCACCGTGTTATGCGATATAACCCCGTCCAACCTTTCCTTGGCAGACCAAAGCCCAAACAGTACCACTGAGAACTTTAAACAGCCAGACCCCCACAGCTGAGTCAGACTGCACACTATTAATAAAAAGCCATCTGGGTGGACGCCTCTTACAGTGACACTGGTAAATTGAGAGCTCGCACAGGGTATTAAAAATAAAATAAAATAAAATAAATCCCCCGCCTCAAAATAAATCATTAGCTAATGATGTACGACAACTGTCCACAGCAACAGCCAATGCTAAAACAAGCACAGTGCTGTCTGAACATCGGTATCCAACCATTGTTGATATGGGTTAAGGCATATCTATGTCTGACTGTGTCCTTCTAGATTTTCCTTGTGGGGTTCCTTTAATTTCTCCAGCAGGTCTAGCTCTAGCTGCAATTCGTTGCTAGCCTTCTCGGTGCTAAGTGGACTCGTCTTCTCCATTTTTCTTTAATTTCCTTCTTATTATCTTTTTTATTACTCATCTTTTGTCTCGAAGTCGAGGTAATTTTGTCGATGATCTTGTTTTTTCTTTAATTAAATTGCTAGGGAAATAAAGTTGCCACTTAATGTTTTTATTTTGACAGAGCTCAATTTAGTGCTGCTTATACGTTAATAGCGCCACCGGAAGTCAACATGTAGTTTTCAATTGCTAAAACAAAATTAACACTAACACAGTAGCAAATTTTTATAGTATTAATTAACATAGGATCCTAAAATACTATTCTTCTCTTTTTGTAGGTGTTATGCTCAGTTTATATGAAAAGTAAATGTAAGCATTTATGCAAATAAATAACATGCTAAGTCAATGTAAGCACACGAATATCCGCTTGTTAAGTGTGACTTCACGCGAAGTGGCTTCCGGGTCCAAGCGATCTATTCAACTGAATGGGGAGACTCATAAAAGCGATTTAAGACTTTAGAAAATCACGATCGCAATATATATGTCCATGCCTAATATCCGATGGCCAGAAAGTGATTCATTTTTTTTTTAATTGTTAAATTTTTGTATTTGTTATGCCGCAAGCCCAGAGATTGTTGTGTACACTATGATTTTATATAAAATTAACTTTAATGTGTGATAGGAATAAAACGTGATCATAAACGAATGATTTCTCCACTCAAAGGAATGATGGCTTGGACCCAGAAACAGTATTACATACGTCACAACTTAACAAGCGGATAAGTGAATTTTCACCACACTGTGGAAATGACATGGTATGTGCAGCCCATTTGCGGTGAATCTGTAGAATTTGCCTCAATCGTATCTTCCATGCACAATCAAACAATTATAATCAAGAATAAAATTAGCTTGAAGTGAAAAACATCCTGTGAGTAAACGAGGGCTAGTGATGTGATGCTCTACATTTAGAGTGACCCCAAACATTGGTTTACTGTGTATTAAGTTGTTATTCAAGAATAATTAAGCAACTGTTGAATAGTTTAAATTAGTGTTGTCCCGATACTGAAATTTGGTACCAATTTTAATGCTGTTGAGTGCATCTTAAAAAAACGCTGATTTGCCATTGCTCAACAGCGCTCAAATGTTAGCGGGAAATGGACGTGGTTTGGATTAGTATCGAATACCAGTAACGTGACAACACTAGTTAAAATGGGATATTATGCATTTTGTGGTTTTTATTTGTTTCATAAAATACCTATATCGTTTTCATTCATTAATTTATTTATAAATTAAATATTTTCTTAACAACTAGACAAAATTAAAGAAGTTCAAACTTATTGTTTAAACTTAAGTATTGTTTATTGTATTGCCAAGTTAACTAAAGCTGTTACATTTTAAAATTGTAAATCTTAAATACTTGTGTAAAAAAACAACACTGACAGAACATTTTGCAATAGGTTCATAAGTCATTAAGAAATAGTTATCATCTGAAATTGGCCTAGGCACTAATAAAATACCCAATAACCATCTAAAATAGCCTATTTCATTGCAATCAGAGATAAGTTTTAGTTCCGCTCATCATAAACAGATGCACGCCGACTGCTGTCATGAACAATGCTGGATCTCCACCCCTATTATCCTTGAGTTTTAAACACGAGCTGCGGGACCCTAAGGAGCTTACGTGCTGATCTCTCGGTGAGACTGCACCTTCACAGCTCAAGGCGACTGCAAGCTGACGTTAACACCAGACTGGCTAATCTAAAGTGACCAGCACTAATCAAGCGCCCCTTGAGTAAAGAGCCACTTGCTCCAGTGGAGGTGGATGTTGACACAGAGTGAGGAGTGAAGGCCTATTCACGTTGTTTACTTTCTTTCTTGGAAAGAGCACAGCTGATATGAGTCTGGAGACACAAATACAGACAGAAATGGGAATACCTGCACAAAAGTGTGTGTCAACGACATCGGTCGCGTTAATTTGAATGAGTAGGTGGTGGGTTATATCAGCGAGATGTCAAATGGATTGGATTGCTGCTCTGGACTTGCAGGTACACTCTGTGCATCTGGTGAACAATAACATGTTTTTGTTCTGATTCAGGCCCACCACTAATCCAGCAGGAGGCGGGGAGATGGAGAGCCAATGAGCATGAAGGGCATTTGTCACTTTTTCCCTCTGAATATCTGAAACAACAGATTTTATCGGCATGCAAAGATGACAACTATAGGCAGACACTTTTCTAGACAGGCTCGAGCTCTAGGAGAGTTGAGTTCAACAGGCTAGATTAACTGGAGCACTGAGGAAAATTATTGATGGTTATAGTTAAGCTATTAAAATATGGTTCAGTATATTTGTGGTGCAACCTGAATTGAAATACTTTGACAATTTCTGGAAAACTGACTTATTTGAATCAAAAGACAAAAATCTGTACGTTATCGCTACATATATAGTGTTTGATACACAATAAATCCATCTAGCCTCTAATTTTTTACATGCGTCTTTAAACAACTGTGCTCAAAATAATTTGTATAGACAATACTTCAAGCTAAGTTAAAACCTTAACATAGATGCAAGTAAATGTATATTATATTAACAAATTACATTAAGCGTTGAAAATTAAAATTGAAATGTGACAGCAATAAATCAGGATTTCAATGGACTTCACGTGGCAATAACTGAGCATTTCACCTTTAGACCAAAAAGCAGTGAGCAAACAAACATGAAAGGCAGCATGAGGGAAAGGAGCAAAGGGCAAGGAGTGAACCAGGTTGTTTGTATGAACGTTGTCTTTCTTTCACAGTCCAAACTCCATGCACCTTGATTCAGGGCTTGCTGATATGATGTCTTCAGGTGGCCCTATCAAATTCTTCTTTGTCTCGTATATGGAGAAACCATATTCCTGCAGCTTTTCCTCAACCCAAAAGGTTGCATTCAGTTATTTCTATCTTTAAAAGAGTTACTCAGGCTTCTGAAAGGCAGATATACACAGTGCTTGACACCCCAGACTGGGGTGGGGGGACAGAAATAGCATCAAGAGGAAAGTCAGCCAGATACATGGATAAAAATAAAAATTTAAGGGAGAAAATGCAAAAACGCTCAATGAATTCCCTTCCCAAATAGTCTGACTATTGTATTACCAATGAACAATCACCCAATTGGACTGATGTTGAGATTAAAACAACAACTCTTCATCTATCAATCCTCCTATGTACAACTTAAGTACAAACTCTTAGTGTTTGTCACCAACTTAAGACTAACCAATATCCAATAAGCAGTCTTTAGGTGAACCGTGACACGATCTTCATGACCGCAGTTAGAATGGACATATGAGTTTGAAGCTAAATCCAGATTTGTGTGGAGTGGGGTTAGTACTTTGCAGTAGCTGTAGATTACTTGTTTGGAAACTTTCTTGAAATGGGCCAATTAAGCAATTATATCGTGACTGCATTAAGCAGCTTAATGCTTGACAGATAATTGAGTCCTTTAATTCCAATCCTGAACTGACAGAGAATAGGAGGGATGGCAAATAATGACGGTTAGGCTAAACATGGTTATGTCTAACAAATCAACTGTCACTGTGCTTTAGTATATATATATATATATATATATATATATATATATATATATATATATATATATATATAGGCAGACAATGAGCTGGCAATATCACATCATCAACTTTCCTCCTCCTTTAAAAACCACTGTGTGTTTTATCATCACTGCTTTCATCTGACAACAATTAAACACTCATTACACAAAATCAGAGAACTATAAGATATGAGATTCTTATTTTGTAATGCTGAATTCATGTAATACTGGACAGCAAACTGATACCACTGGTGGAATAATAGCAAACTGATCTGCCATGACAACAACCTTTCTTATGTCATCACAAGTCAGAGTCTCACTTGTCTTTGCTTAAAATCTGACTAACAAACCAAGAAAAGCTGTTTTGTGACGTGCACTGTGCACAATACAGTACATGCGGGTCTACAGAGCAGCATTCTGCTGCAGCTCTAAGATTCCCAGCAACAGAGCGATCACTGTGAGCTCACACCTCACGTAGAGCTCCCATAGCACACAGCACAAATTACCGCGCAGAAGTGACGCAAAGATCAAGCAGCCTCTGAAAGCGTTTGAGAATGTGCCTATTCCCATGATTGTTTAAACACGTTATGTTAAGACAATGATGGGAAAAGGAGTGTGTGAAAGATTTGACTAATATATGTCCGGTCTAAAGGGGAAATCCCCCAGGGTGGGCTCTTTTTCTACCTTGAAAAGCTCAATATAAACAAAGCTTTTTAGTGATTTTTAATAGTAATACGTTTGTAATGGTGTACATCTTGCAACCACTTTCAGTTAAAAGCAATGTTGTTGATCAATGAACCAGACCATGTTTTGACCAAACTGTATTGACGTTCAGAACCAAAACCTAATGTACTTCCTCAAATTCCAAACCACTGTCATCACCACAATTTGCTTGCTTTTCCCTCAACATTCCATGCAGTTTTTTGAGTTGTTGCCTGGATTCATGCTGTCAAGGACACATTGAATTTAACCCATGAGGATTTCCAATGTTTACCATTGGTCAAAGGTAAATAGGACCTTCAACAGAAACTAATGTCTGTGAAATAAACGTATATGAATTTATGCCTGGATGCCATTAAACACTACTGTTCAATGAACAACAATCATGATTTCCCAACATTTGTGCATATTCTAACATTAAGGCCACTTTTTAACGCAACACATGAGAATTTAGCCAATGCTGATTTCTTATGGGTGCAAAAAAAGGTACTAACTTCTTGCCGGTTTCCGTAGCAGGTGTGACTGTGGTAAGAAGCGATTCTGATCTGGGCTGCCAATCCAGGATTCGGTCGGCAAATTTGCGACCATTCTGTTAGAAGGCTGGGGCTTCTCCTCCACAGACGAAGTGATCACCATCTGAAAAGCTTATGCGTTGGCCCGTGATATCCAAAGAATGAGTCTAATCAAGTTTGCTGGGGATCCCAAAAAGTACTGAAAAAGTCGCTGACATCAAGTATAGAATCCTTCGCACATGCTTATAACTTCAGTAAATAATCCAGTAGGGTACATCCAATGGTAACTAAACTCAAGTTTGAACCGTAAAGGCAGGTTATAAAGATTAGGATTTAAATTTAAGCACAAAAATATCTTTCAATTACTTGCGAAATCCTGAAGTGACAGACAGAAGAAACCGATGAACGAAAAAGGCACCATTAAGTTATTTCAAACACCGTTTCATTTCTGTCCTTGTTATTCCCTTTATTACTATAATATTCTAAGGCAATGGATTGGGTTTCAGGCAACAATGCTCACTTTTGGCATAAAAATATACATATTCAAACTATGTACGTCTTATATACTTTATAGAGCTTTATATATATATACTCTGCAACACACACACATATAGATAGATTTCTCTGTTTATAAGGGGATGAGCTTATTTGGTTACTAAAGTTTGCTTTACTTGTACTGTATCTAGATTCATTGTCCCACAATACCAAGTGGATTCCATTTGATAAAATAAAAATAACGTTTAGACGAAATGTTCAAAACAGTAAAATAAAAATCGAGATCCTTGTTGAGACAGGACCCCCCACAATTTTCCAATCCCGATAATTCAGCAGCTGACAAGGAAACCAGAGCTAAACCTGGAAGTGTTGGTAGCCTTTAGGGTGGGGGTGGGGGTCTCAATTTTCAACACCATTTACCCCATCACTCTCGCTAAAAATAGCAGGCGTTTCTTATATTCTGTCTAGGTATCCTACAGTAGCTTAAATTAGTCAAAAATGGCAGGTGTGCTTGGCAACAATGGTTGTGTCGCCACTTTCCTCGGTTATAGTCTTAATCCTGATTAGTAAAACAAATGCAGCTCCAGGTAAGACAGATATCTGTGACTTCCTTGTGGGAAAAACAAAAAAAGAGAGTTCCCCTTCCCCCTTGAATGCAACTGGCGAAGTCTGCAGGTGTACAGGCGACCTTATTCGCTGGCAAGTCCAAAAAAGAGGGGAGGAGGGAGGCAGAAGCTCAAGACAACGGACGACAACAATCTATAGCTTATGATAAATGTTCTCGTGGGCTGCAGGATCAAAACAAACACGTGCATGCACACAACTACGACGAGTCAAAGTGCTGAAGTGCAAGTTACAGGCACACAAAAATGCACAACTACTGGACAAGAGAATAAAAACTCGCCGATTTCACTATGATACTGTTTCACAATACAATGTAGATCAAATTTAGTCTCAACTGTAGAGCGCAAACGTCAACCGAGCAGACTGCGCCTGCAAGCGCACAAGCTCTTCAGTTCTGTCAAAAGATGTTTCCGTTGTGCGAATGTGCTTGGCATTGAAAAACAAAACGGGCAAAAGATATCCAGAAATAAGTCCAAACGATCCAATCGTCCCAGTCAAGCAGTGAAAACTCACTGAAAAGTTCGGATTATAGACGGTGTCGTCCAACCGTGCGCTGTCAAGTCGCCTCAAAGAACATTAGAGAGCTTTCAGTTCGCGACTGACAAATTGGTTTTAACTTTCCATAAAAGCACAACTCAAAGCGTTTTCGTGAAAAACATCAACTGCCAAAGCTGAAGCATTTGACGTTACTTCCATCCTGAGCTGTCACCGCGATCGCGATCCTGTGCAGTTCCGCGTGCACTTTTCACAGATTCGTTAACTCCCGCTTTCAGATCTCAACCCCCAATCGTAAAGCTCCTTTCCGTTTTTAAAGCGTCTCCTCGATGTTTTGTTTTCCTCCAAACAAAAAAAGTCGTTCTTTTTTAAGCCAGTCTCAAGTCATACTCTCTGCGTGCCCGTTTTTACTTCTTGTTGTCGAGCCTCTCTGGCCGGCACTGGATCCACACCCTGCAATGAGGATTGTTCCATCCGCAGGCAAGTGCAGGGGGGATCTAAAAGAGCCACTCTGTGGAGGAGCTCGGTTGACGCAGCTACCCACGCTTCAATGTTTAAACACCAAAAGCGGAGGGCTGCCATGAGAACCACGAAACACGTTTCAAAAGGAGTGACGCATGACTATGTGCTTATTTACCCAGATTTCATCAGATCAAACAAGGCTTCGCCACAAACACACATTCACAAGCATTAAAGAAAGACCCCCTTTTTAACTTTAGTAGCGCCACCAAGCCACTTCTCTCCATTTATAGTAACTCTGCAGATATAGATATTCACACAGCGCACATATATATAAACATATATATAGACTGATGGAGTCATTAGAAGCACTTATCAAAATTACAAGGTTATTTAAGCAAACAAAAGTACATTAAGGTAAATGCAGCTTTAATGGAGACCAAACTTTTGTAAATCATGACATCTGGCTGTCGTTCTTGGCATCTCGTAATAAGTATTGCCTTATTCTAAAGCTAAACTTATTTTCTAATTATAATTATAGTAATTTCATTAATATTAAGTGTTATTGTTTAATTCTGTAAATGTCTGGTA